ACAGAGATAACATGGTATTTGTACATATTTATACAGAGAAGTACATCGGTATTTGCATTTTATACAGAGAAGACTATCGGTATTTGGCATTTTATACAGAGAACACATGGTTATTTGGCATTTTTATACAGAGAACACATGGTTATTTGGCATTTTTATACAGAGAACACATGGTTATTTGGCATTTTTATACAGAGAACACATAGTTATATGGCATTTTTTATACAGAGAAGACATGGTTATTTGGCATTTTTATACAGGGAAAATATGACCCATTGCTAGTTTTTTACAAAGAATTCTGACTAGGAAATAATGGTGTACTGTCATTTCTTCAGTGAAAAAATATCCATTTTTGAATTGCTTATTTTTTAAATAAGTTAATAGCAGATTATATTTGTAATAGGAGATTATGAAATTCTTACAGAAAACAGTTTTATTGCTTGAAGTTATTTATGCTTTAAATACCATTTCATATACTCAGCTGTTTGTATATAAAAAAGAATCTTGAGCATTAAAATATATTTTTTGACACAATGCCTTACCTCCTTTCACATAATAGCTTTCCTTGATTTGTGCTGCCCTCTTTATGCACAAATTGTGTGCAGATGAGCATGCAACATAGGAGTATAACACACCCTCCTAGTGCAGAAGCATCTACACACATTGCATGTTGTCAAAGTATTTATTATTGGAATTTTGCTTTCCAATATTTTTGACCTTTTATTTCCACATTATTAGTATCAGTAACTTCCACATTGTCTAGTGAGAGACAACAAGACATTCTTAATGTTTGTATCACATCTACATTGGTGTCAGGTTTGTCTTTGTCTGTTGGGAGATTTGATGACTTTTATGCAGTGGGTGTGGAGTAGTTCATGTGGCCTATGCCTTAATTTGTATCTGACATATGTCCACCTGTGTTTCTCCTTCATGACGTAAGGGACTTTATGAGTTTTTATACTACATACCTTTGCCATATCTTATACCCATGTTGTTTTGAATCTACCTAAACCTTTTTTGTAATTTTGGGAATAGGTTTCTTTGGTATGTTTCACTTTTTCTATATGTAAATCATTCATTGCTTCTTACTTTTATGTTTTTTTACTTTGTATCCAGATATGCTAGTCTGTCTTCAATTTCTTTTACCACTACTTTGCCGCAGGCATTCCTTGTCCTCCTTCCTTTGTTACCTCTTATGACTAGACCTAACTTTGTTCTATATTGCTATTTCTTAGACTTAAGTTTCTCACCTTCGTCATACACTCTCTACCCTTTTTCATTGTTTTTCCTCCATTCACCATTCCCCGCAGGAGTTTTTGGTGGATGCTAGTTCACTTCTCTTCAATGACATGTTTATCTTCCTTATACTTGATTGATCTGTTGATAATGTTTGTTGGAGAGTGATGTCCTTGTTACTCAAGTCCTTTTACCTCCCTTTTCTCTCATATGCCTTCATCTGGCTCCTTTCATCTGCCTGTTTGATTTTCCTGGAGTGCTTGTTTCTCTGGAGTCACATGTTGATGCCACATGCTAATGAATTCTTATTCTCTATTTTAGTGACTTTCCCATGCTTCTTCTCTGCTCTATCTCCTTTCCTCCTGCTTCCTCTTCTCTCCCTATCACCACTTCCCATTCCTCTGTTCCTGTCTGTCCTCCCACCACTCATAGCATTCAGTGCCATCAGTGTTTGTAATGACTGTAGGCTCAGGGTTAGTGGATCATGTTTTCTTAGGTTTGTGGACTTTTGTCCTCTATTTACAGCCAATTTTCGAGTACTAGGGGTTCTGTCAGAGAGCCTTACCCTTCATTTTTTCCTCTCTCACTCCTTTGTCTCTTGTTCCCATTACTTTACCTCCTCCCAGAGGTCTTGTTTCTTGCCAACATCTGTGTCAGTATTGATGGCTAAAGACTCTATTAGATGGGTTTTTAATCCTTCTAGGATTTATTCCCATCTTTTGGTGGTTACAGAGGAATCCATATCTAGGCATCTGGTCTTACTCATTTTATGTCTCAGTCAGTTTCTCATCCTCCCTCAATTTACCATGGAGACTTTTCTCACCCTATAATGATTTTTTGCCCCAGGTTTTGAGATGATCATGGTTGTCTTATCAGATGCTTCTTTTATCATTTGGTTCTGTCCCAACAAGACTTCTACATCCATCCTCTTCCCCATATTTTGGAGATGGCAAGTCTGAGTTGGGTGGTCAATGAAAAGAAGTTGCTTATCACACCCATTTAGTTTCTCATTCATTTGGGTTTTTTTCAGTTAGAATCTCCAAAGGGTCCTATTTTCTCTTTCTGTTACTGTGAGGGATGCTCTCTCTCTTTTGGAGACTTGGGCTTCCATGAAATCCCATCTCTTCTTGGGTCGTGCTATTTTGCAAGGTCTACAATGGACTCTGCATGATTACTGTTTCCTCCACCATTTTCCTTCCTCCTTCCATACTCAAACACTTCACCTGGTGACTTGATACACCCAATACTGTAGAGTTTGTTTCTCTTTCCTTCCTGGGTCACCATCTATTTCCAGGTGCCTCCTTGATGAGTTGGGGGCATATTTTGACTGTCACGTGATTTCAGGTCATTGGTCTCATGGTTATTTGTCCCTTTCTGTCATTCTCATAGAGCTTTTGGTGGTACATCAGACTTTGAATCATTTTCTTATGATTGTTTGTGGATGCCTGGTGATGATCCATACAGACAGATCTGCTGTTGTCTTCTATATCAATTGCCAGAGGGGCACCCAATCTTGCTCCCTCTGTTTCCATGCTCTCGGTTTCTTTCTCTGGGCCCATTCTTTACATATATGTCTAATAGCTTGTCATATTCTGGATGCCCTGATTCTTGTCTTGGATTGTCTTTTCCAGCATGATAAAATACTATCTATGGAGTGATTCCTCGATCCTTTGGTGTTCCAGTGGCTGTCCTCTTGTCTGGGCACTCCTCTTCTTGATGCTTTTGCCACTTATCTCAACACCATACTTCCCTTTTTCTGCTGTGGATGCATTCACCTAAGATTGGTCCAGTATTCTTCTCTGTCCATACTCATTTATTCATCATATCTTTCATGTGTTTTCCCTCATTCTGCTTGCTCTGCACTGGTTGCTTGGCCATTGTTTCCTCTATTGAACCTTCTCTGGTCCTCTCCTTCTCTTCCTCTGTCATGCTCCCTACTCCTTCATCCTTACCCCTCCCATCTGACAGAGTTGTCACTCAGGCTCCATGTGTGGATTTAGTCTAGTCCCTTGTGAGGTGTTCCAGACTCTCTTCATGTATAGCTTTCTTTCTCATTCCATTTGTTCCCCCCCCCTCCTTGTTTATCCACAAAGATAGCACATATTCTGTAGTTGGTCTCTGCTTTGTGCTTTATCCCCTTCCTGTCCTTCTATCCTCCATCTTCTCAATTTTTACCTGGCTGTTTGCCCATGGCTTATCACTTTTAACCATTGCTAGCTACAAAGTAGTTCTAGCTAATACCTTTGGGTTTTCTCATTATCATCATGTATTCTCCTCTCCTGACCTTTCTCTGCCTTTTCATTTTTTGGCTATCTTTTTTCTTCCTTTTCCTGTAGTCCTTCTTGTTTTGGACCAGAATGTTGTTCTCCACACCCTTATGCTTCCTCTCTTTGAACCATTTGTCTCTTTTTCCTTGCACTGTCTTCTTCTTAAGTCCTATTTATTCCTTTTTGTCTGTGGCTGTATAAGATCAGATGTGTTTGCCATTGATACTTTCCTTATTCTTTTCCGTTGCTCTTATATTCATAGTTATCTTGCTTGTGGGTTTTGAACTAAAACATCTGTGACGCGTGAAGGTCAAAACATGTTCACTCCTATTTCCCTTCCTTCCATTTCTCACTTATATTCTCATAGTTCCTGATCATTTTCTTTGTCCCATCTGTGAGGCTTGTTATTATTTGCCCTGCTTTGCCCCTTTTCACAGCTTTACACTATTATCTCTTTATTTTGTAGAATTCCTTATCTCCCTGAGATGTTTCTCCCATTACCCTTTAGGAATGTTTACGGCAGCTCTTCCATTTAGCCAATATTTCATTGGATGTAGATTCACATCGACTCTTTTAGGTCTCCTCTCGCCAAATACAATACCTTACTCTCTATCTGGCTGCTCATTTCTGTCATCTATTGATGTTCATGCAGGCTGGCATATGGACTGCCCCTTATACTTTCGTTGCACATTATTTTCATCATCTGGCCATCTCTTCTTCTTCAGGATATTGACTTCCTCCTCTCACCATACTACATCACTTATGACTCTGACTGGATAAGTTCTTTTTCTGTATATTTTCCCTTTACAATGACCTATTTCTACATTTCTAGATCCCACTTGATAGTGAATGGTGCCTGTCTAGGTATAATTAACTTTAACTCTGCACCATGAAATCTTTCATGATCTATAACTTTTACTGATGAGATGGGATGTTCCACAAGACTGCTTGAGGGTTTCTTGTGTTATATTGCTTCAGAAATAAGGTCCATTTCAAACCGTATCAACTCGTGGACTGTCACGAGTAAAGCAGTGTCAGGATTGCTGTCCATCCCTTTGGTCTTAGTTGAATAAACCAGTACTGGCCTGCTTTTCTAAATAGGGTTTTCATGCTCATCCATTGTACAGTCTTAAGGTGTTGCATTCCTCCAAACTTCCCACAACAATTTTTCTCCCTCTTCTATTGGAGTACAAAAGTCTTTGCCACTTACTAGTTCCTAGCTGGTGTGTTGGTGGACCATGGAGGTTTTCTTCTGAGTGTGACCACTTCCAATGAATCCATACCATGTGTAATCACATGAAGCTAGGTGGAAGCCTCATGGCTAATAGCAAGTGAAAATTGTGCACATAGAGGACAGCATAAATTGAGGAAAGCTATAAAGTGAGAAGAGGTAAGTATCTATCAGAAATACATTTTCAATGTTGGAAAATGTTAACTTTAATTTGGTATTCCCAGTGTCTTAGCTAATTCTTTTTATCAGCATGCTTAAACTTATTAGTGGTGAGTCATTTGAGACTTGTAGGCAAAGGTTTATATAAAATTATTCTAAGAATTTAAGTACAGTTATCTAAAGTTAAAAATAAAGTAACAAAATATATTATTGTGAGACTTTCTTTTTGTGCTACAACAATTATTACATTATATATTGCTTGACATGTAATTTTCTCCCACAGGAGCCTAATCCTGAAGATCCTCTGAATAAGGATGCAGCTGAAGTCCTACAGAGCAATCGAAGGCTGTTTGAGCAGAATGTAAAGAAGGCCATGTTGGGTGGTTATGTTGGCTCAACTTATTTTGAACGTTGTCTCAAGTAGTGCTGACATTTGACAGAATATTTTCACTGACTTCATTTTAGAGCAACTGAATTTTTGCAAGCCAGGCTGTACAGTCTTAACAACATAGGTCAAAGAGGGCTAGTTCTTCTCCTACTTGTAATATATTAATATAAGTTTCAGTCTAAAGATGTTTGCTTATGTTGCCCTGGTGGTTTGTGGTTTCATCTGCCTATGTAGGCCACAATAAATTGGGATGGTTGAAAAAAAAAACTTCATAAGATAATGAACTGTATTAATATCATCTTAGAAAGAGCTGTGTTATTAAAAACAGGTTATGTTATTTAAGGAAGTGTTGTATTGTTATTTGATAATGCAACCATAATTGGTTAATATCTCAGATATAGTATTTATGAGAAGAACATAAATTAAATGTGCCTGTAAAATATATTGAAGTTACGTTAAATTAAAATTCTTGTTTGACTAGTTGCAAAATATACAAGCGTTATATCACATTAGATTTCTTTTTTATGTTTGAAATATGACATTTGGACCACTGTAAAATTACTTTATGAATATTTCTTAGAAAAATTGTACAAGTTCAAATAAAATGTGTGTGTGTGTGTGTATGGAGTTAGTTCTGTAGTGGCCAGTACTCTGTATAGCAGTAGAAACGAGAGAAATCTAAACATGGAGTGTATTGCATGTACACCATTTGTATCCAACTGAAATAAATAAATTAAAACCAGCTCAATTTTTCATAAAACTTGATTCAGAAGTTTTGAATGGTTACACTGTAAACGTAATGAAAACTTTTTATTAAATAAAGTATGAGACATTACTACTTTAAATTAACTGAAGGGACTGACAAGATTTTACAATCAAATTATAAATGTGTATATACAGAGAGATGAGTATATTACATTATAATGATTTTGAATATGTAAATTAGAAATTCACATGAGAATTACAGCTCATAAAAAGGTGCAGTGGAATAGTGTGTACCAGAACTACATTTTGAAATTGTTTGGCATTTTGTATGTAGTGCGATGTTGATAAAAAATTGATCATTTTTAGGAATGGTATATAAAAGTCCTTTCTAATGCAAAATATATATACATTCAGATAATAAAGATGTGTTTAAATAAAGGATTTATAACTTCTAAGGTAGGGGATATCCCCTGAGCATAATGACATTACAAAAAAATGAATATGGATCAACTTGGGGCACCAGAATCATACAGAAAGAATTCTCTAAGTTGTACCTCAGCTGTGTCAAGCAAAGTGTGGCATCTTGTAACAGGTAATAATCTGTAACACAAACATCAATGGTAAAAGCTTTCTTGTGCCCCAGATAATGGTATGCAATACGTGAGTAAGGAAGCACATTATGCTAATATAATAATAGGTAGGCAAGTAACGATTTATAAACTTAAGGAAAAGTTTTATTGATGATGGAACATGCATGTTTCGACATACCAATGTTCTGTCTAGACATTTAGTATTGTTCCACCATTAATAAAACTTTTTCTGGTTGGTAAAGACTCAAGAGTCCTATACAGACTTTCCCAACTGGACTCGGAATCACCAGATGATACACCATAGTGTTTATCCTCAGTCATTGTTTCCTCCACACTAGGTTTGTTCCTCATGGGAAGAGAATGGCCAGCCATTTTGGGTGCATCAGAAACTGGCAGCTCTTCTTCCTAAGATCAAAGTCATGGACTTTTGCAGTATTGGCAAAAGTTCTACATCCTAAAGGAGTTTCTTTTATACCCAACAAATGTCTCAGACAGCCATCCTCACTTGATGGCCAACTCTCTCTATTGTTCATACATCATTCTAGTTGTAGAAAATGTCATTTTATTTAATTAAGAAGTTGTTAAACTTAATGTACAGGAGTTCAAACGAAGAGCAGTACCCACTTTAGCATGTAAAGCAAATTCCATGATAATGATATCCCACCTACCAACTCTGTATTATATTCCAATAAAACTGAATTAAAATTTGAGCTGTATCAGATAGTTTACTGTATTTTAGGAAGTTCACTGAAAATATTAATTATGAAGCATTACAAAATCTCTTGTTAACTGAGTCAATGTAAGATAAGAAGTAACTGGACACAACATGTAATACAGTGCACATCCTTTATTAAGACACTAAATACACACAAGGAACTGTCGCCCTGACGGGATACCTTCAGTGGTTAATTCTTTAACTTGTACTGACTAGATTAGCTCAAATTATTTTTCAGACTATACTAACTAAATGTAATATTTTTTAGCCTGCAAAAAACCTCGCATTTACCTAGGGTGACCAGCACTACACTTGTGACTGGTCAATCTCATTACAACATTTTTTTTTTTCCCATAGTTTTTGCGGACCGTCGAGCCGATGGCAGATCTTGCTCTGCCAGCGTTTCTAAAGCTGTTTCTTACATCAAGGATGCAACCCACTTGACAGCCTTCCCTTGTTGAAAGGACGAGCATGTTTGGTGGGACTGGGATTCGAACCCGCGACCCTCAGATTGCGAGTCGAGCGCCTTATCCACCAGGCCACATTACAACATAGGTGGACCTATAACACCTGAACAACTGTTGAGGGACACTGACTGATGTCGACAACCTTACACAATGTGTAGTATTCTTACCGAGTGGAACAGCTATTGTGAAAAGCAATGAATAAAGGCAGCTAACGTCGTTCTCGACAAAGTGTTATGTTAAACCTGCACATAGACAAAATGAAGAATAAATTCAGAATACTATTAACATCGCAAGAAGCTAGAAATGTATGTATTACCACAAGTGTGCAGCAACAGAAGAAAACTTTAACATGAAACAATGCACCTCACAAAGAAACCTTAAATAAAGACAATTACATAATACAATATGAGGATTAGAATAACCCTATAACATAAATTAACACATAGATGACAAAAATTTTGTTATTGCACTTTTAATGTTTATTATGTTAAGAAAAAAATATAAGCGCACTTTTTTATCCTTTGTTACAAACGAGTTTTTATTTGGCCCGTCCAACGGACCGGTACTCTAGCTAGTACATAATATTAATAACCCTTTGACAATGATACAAAGTAATCAATTAATTTTTAACCATAGTATTACAATATAACATACACAAAGTCTTTAACAGAGATAAATTACAGCTTATCATAAAATCACACTTCTTTATCAGAGGTCGGTGAAATAAGCATACAGAGATGTCTTGGAGTTTTTCAATTAAATTATGCTCCTTTCTAAAGTCAACTGAAACCTGGTGAATAATGTTCATTTCAGGCTTCATAAAGAAACTTAAAGAATAACTCATCACTTAAGCATCTCATTGGCCCGGCATGGCCAGGTGGTTAAGGCACTCGACTCGCAATCTGAGGGTCGCGGGTTCGAATCCCCGTCACACCAAACATGTTCGCCCTTTCAGCCGTGGGGGCGCTATAATGTGACAGTCAATCCCACTATTCGTTGGTAAAAGAGTAGCCCAAGATTTGGCGGTGGGTGGTGATGACTAGCTGCCTTCCCTCTAGTCTTACACTGCTAAATTAGGGACGGCTAGCGCAGATAGCCCTCGTGTAGCTTTGGGCGAAATTCAAAAACAAACAAACAAACAAAAGCATCTCATTGGTTTATTAAGAAAGTCTTGAAAGAAAAAACATGGAATGGACACCAAATATATGAGTGTTTGCTCTTAAGCAAAAAGCTACACAATGGAATATCTGTGTTCTGACCAATACGGGTATCAAACCCCGAATGTTTTCGTCATAACCTTACAGACCAAGAGGCTGTAAATACCAAGTACAACTATTATGGCTTCCAGAATACTTTCACAATATAATTTTGTAGTTTTTTTAACTAAATGGTGTTAAATAAAAGATCTAAATAATACATCGTTACCTTTGTACAAAACATGTGATAAAACACATGAAAGCACCTTCCAATAACTATACATAAATGATAGTATTTATAAACTCGTAGAATGTTAACAGTGAAGTGGGGTAAATGTTGGCAGTAAAGGAAATCTGATCCTCACCACACTGGACAGGGAGGCAATTAGTCAGGATTGTCAACACAGGCTATGTACCAGGTATGTTAGGCTCCAGTGGAGTCATAGTTTAAGGTCCATTTGTTGTAATTGTGGGAGGAGCCACTGGTTTCCTAGACTCCAGAGTAAGATTTTCTGCAGCATTAAATGAAAGTATAGGTATCAAGCAAACAGCCTGACGGTGGACAAAACTTCTGGCAAATTTTCTTAAACATAAAATAGCCAGAAGAGTCAGGATTCGCTCTTCCAAAGAAAAAGGAATGCAAAATATGCAGCCAACTGGACTGTGATTGGTCAGAATTTCAGCTAAAGGTGTACGTTTGAATGTTGTGATGACATGGTAAGTAGCAAAGTGACATTTCTATAGTCTTACGTGTACACATATGTATATGTCCTGTATACCAGAAGTATAGAACTGGCAGAACACACACAGGAGTGCCACTCTGGCGCCTGATATTCCAGCTGAATTTCAACACTTCAAAAACTAAAAATATTTATATAAAAATATGTTATTCACTTTACATTCAAAATTAAGTGTCTTTCCTAACCAATATCTCAGAATGCTAGAGACCACCTGGCTGTTCGCGATCATTCTTATCCACTAATAGAGCTCTCTCAGACCACCCAGCAAACACTCTGTTACTCTTTCTCAGGAGCTGGCATCAGACACCATGCGACTACTCCGATCCAAGAGCAGGTGTCAGAGCGTTACAACGGTGAAACGTTTTTGCCATACGTCACGTGATTATTAACACACACAATATGGTATCAAAACACTTAATAAAATACATGTTACAATTATATTGTCTGCTGAAACGTACACCTTTAAAAAGCATATTATTTACATAATGTCCAATTAAGATCACTTTTTTTAGTTATTCTTATTGACAGAACAAGAAGTGTGCAAAGCATTATAAAAGAGAAAGTTGCTAATACTGCTTACAGATTATTGTTGCTAAAGCTGAAGTTGAAGGTGTCTCAAAGTATTGTACATTTGCTACCCTATTGTTGCTAAAACTGAAGTTGAAGGTGTCTCAAGTTATTGTACATTTGGTACCCTATTGTTGTCTCGTTTTTAATTTGTTTTTCTGCTGCTTAGTTTATAGGAAGTTGAATTGCATGTTTCTTCTCGGTAACATGCGTGTATTCAATTTAGTACTAATTTTAGTAGTCTCAAATTACTGGCGTTGCACATATTTTCTTTATTTAAAATGGACTTACGCAAATGGAAATTAGATTTTCAATATGAGATATTTAGCCTGATGGTCACACGTCTGATAAATATTCGCAAAGCTTCGACTCTATAAAACTTAGTACTATACCATTGTTGTAGACAATGTGTCCCCTGCATCTATGAACGTCTCAGTCCTCCAGACTTTCTCACGTGCTTGACCATACCACAGCTGTGCTGTACACTGTGTCATATCCAAGATAATATCTAATGCAGTTACCTTTAACCGCCTGCATTACTTCCAACATTATCTAGTTTTTACACGAACAGATCCCTGGTCCAGTGTAGAGGAAAGGGTAACATTGATGCTCTGGTCCTTACATAACTAGCTGAAACAGGTTAGCCACTGCACAAGCACCCACCTCTAGCTTCTGATCAAGGAAATAGATTAAAACAGACATCTCATTTCCCTAAAACTTCTTTCAGGTTCAAGGTTAGTAAAGGCTAGGGCAACTTCAAAGCAAAGCTATAAAGATGTTGTTTT